CAACTAATAAATGTGGAAAAAATATTGGTAAGAATAAAAAATAATACTCTTTCCGGTCCAGTTTATAGGATAGGAAGAATTTTTTTATTTTATTTATAAGTTATTTTATTAATTTTTATCATAAAATTTTTCACTTGATCTCTACTGAAGTTTGAAGGAAAAAAATATATTATTAAAATATATATATTTAATACAGGTAAAGTTAAAAAGTTATTAAATTTTTAGCTAAAGCTAATAAATTTTTAAATTTTAGTTAAACATGTTAAAAGTACTTTATGAATAAAACTAGAAGAGTATTTATTATAAATAATATTTATTATAAATAATCTTAAAAGTAGTAATTATTGATAAGGATCAAATATAAAAATGTAAATTTTAAAATACAAAGCCACTCTAATCAAATTTTCTAAATTTTCTCTAACCACATCTCAAATTGAATTTGATAGTTATGGCAATAGTAAATAAACAAATCATGCTGGAAATCAAAACCAAGGAAGGGCGTATATTGTTTATATAACCTACAATATCGTGCTCAAACATTTGTTGGGTGGAAAACTTTGATAAGGTTAACATCTATTCTAATTTTACAGAAGCTCTCGTGTTTATACACAATAAATTCTCTACAAATCATCCCCTTACTGCAATTATCAACAAAATCAGAGATCTTATTATGAATGATTGGATGGTTACTTTTGATCACGTTTTTAGAGAGGCAAATAAATGTGCAAATTGATTGGCTCACCAAACTCCTGTCGAAAGCCCTAGAATTCATATTTTTGATGCTTCACCTCTTGGTTGTATAACTTTCTTGTACACTGATATGACACATCATATCACATAGCATGGTTTACTTGTGGCCTTTTATTCAAAAAAAATATCATGCTCAATGGCAGACACAAGCCCTGGACCAGCAAGAGCATATACCTTATATAAAAATAATAAAATACATTGTATATAATTATATGATTTTTTATAAGGAGAATTGTATGAAATTTAATAATTAGGTTTGATAGAATTTTTTTTAAATTTATCTTAATTTATTGTTTTTAAAAATGCTATATGTCCGGTAAAGATTTGTTGCTTCCCTTACTGATAATTTTCTCTAAAAATAATTTCATTGTCCTATTCAAAAATCACAAAATTTTCAATCTACTTATTCAAAATCTTGTTTTAACGTGAAAAAATAATTTGAATGCATAAAAACAATTAAGAGGATCATAAATTTTAAAAATATTTTAAACCAAGATGCATAAAAAATGAATGATTTTATGGAATAAAAATATACAAAATAAATGATTTTTTGTGCTAATATATATATCCATTATAACATATTTTATTATAATTTTTTAATTTTTTGAAGCAAAGAACAAAAGAAATTATTTATAAGGATGTTAAAATAATATATTATTTTCCTCATCGAAAAAAAATAATATAGTATTTTTTTTATGGTTTGCCCTTTGCCTTCTCCAATTCTCACTTTTGAGCGTTGTTGCTGCCTTTGCCAAATTGAATCTCTCTACGAACGAAGAAGATGTATCTTCTTCAATCATGAATCTCTTTATTTTGAAAACACTCATAAGATTTCTTAGTAGCACCCTCTTTTTTTTTTTTTTGCGGCCATAGAGGTAGGTTTTTTGTCCCTAAATGATTACCTCTGTTGTCTGTTATGCAAACAAAGCTAAACATGGTAGATTCCTTTAATTTAGAAAAATGCTTATCCTTCTCCACCCAATTAGATCAATCATGGTAAACTAGTATAAAACCATCATTGAAATGGTTCATATGAATTGAAGATTGTCATTAACTACCTACGTTTTGCTATTCTACCGACTAATGAGATCACATGGTCTATCTTTCTTCGATTACCATGTCCCTTTCATGTCCTTCCTATTTAGGCCAATTTGATATATCATGGTTGTTGTCACCCTCGTCAAATACATCTTCAAAAGACATTGTTGCCTTCTCTATCTCTGCTTTTTTTTTCTTATCTCTCTCAACTCTCAATGGAGCTTATTCAATGGTTGCAAAATTAAAAGATGATCGGGGGGGGGCAATGATTCATACATTAATACTACACTCATGGTTTCTAAAAAATTTGAGTGGGTTGCATCTGGCCACCTTGAAGTCAATGTAGGTTCGTGGCTGGTCCTGGTATCAAATTATGTTACTGATGTGATAATTTTATTGGTGAGTAATTTATAAATATTTGTAAGCATTTTTCTGTGTATAAAGACGTGTTCTAGTCTTAATAAATTTTTGAGACCTAACTAGCTTGAACTTCTGAAACACCCTAACTCATGATATAGGTAAAAAATTATTACTTTTTTAATCAGCATTCAATATAATCTAACATGCTTGAAAAAGAAGGGTATACTACTTGAAAAGGAAGGGCATGCTACATTCAATGTTAGATTCATGCAAGCATGCTATAATATGTTTAACCACTTCATTCAATGTTAGAGTCGTTCAAGCATGCTATTATATGTTTAACCATAATATGAGGATTCACATAATCAACCTAGTGGATACAATTTTGACATGATGTATATTCCATTCAAAAGCAATTACAAAAACTCGTTAGAAGCAAGACCATGATTTCAAATCCACTTAACCAATTTAATAAACAATCATACCATAATTTATATTCTACTTAAAAATGATTAGAGAAACTTATTTAAAACAACAAGATATTAGGAGATTCATTATTATCCTTTATTCCCCTCCTTATCTCAGGTTGAGATTTTAGGCAATAAGGGATAGTACCTAGCTAAAGGTTTGATCCACATCAAGTCTTAACCTCCCTCCTTTGATAATAAAGGGTGCTCAAATGGTACCCAGCTCGTCTCGACTAGAGCGGAAAAAATGAGTTGAGCCTAATAGGCTGGCCCATTTAAGCCCGCTTATAGAAGGGCCGAGCTTGCATATAAAACCCTGAAAGTGCAAATTGGGCTTAAAAGGATTTGGGCTCCATTTTAAACGAATTAGCCCTACAAGGTTGAGGGCCAACACATTTAAGCTTGCACATATTTTTTTATTTTTATTGTATAAAAATAACTCTAAATCTCTTTGCTATATCCGAATCGGCTAACCCTAATCTAAGTCAAACCAAAGTAGAGTTAAGAGTCTAGAGTCCAAAGTCCAAAGCTAAGGCAACAACAATTCCAGTCTTCTAGATCTTGATTTCATGCTCTCAATCAACAATAGCATTTGGCCCCACAGTCAACACTCATGGTGAAATCCCATAGCATTCTTCTTCTTATTGCTTATTTTTTATTTGAGCATTTGATCTAAAAAGAGCTTGAACCATGAAAACATCCATTTGTTTGAGCTTAGTCACGTCTCAATCTCAATATCGTTATCCCTTTTAATCATGTCTTACAAGTCACACACAAGCATTATTGTTTGATTCTCATTCGAGGAAGAAACATTTGGTTGATTTTTTTTTTTAAGATAGGGAATAGATTTGATAATGATATTTATTTTATAATTTTTATCATATTTTTTTCTTAATCTTGTGTATTTATGAAAAGAAAAAAAATGAAAATAAGTAAAATGGCCTAAAGCCCGTAGGGCCAACCCTGAGCCTACTATGATAAGGGCCGAGCTTTGTAATTGGAGGTATCAAAGGAAAAACAAACTTTTCAAGCTTAGCCCTTTTAGGCTCGTGCATTTTAAGGGCCAACCATTTAGAGCTAAGTTGCTCAATTTTTCTAACTCTAGCCTCAACCTTGGTCAAAGAAATCAAAGTAGCTTAGGTACATATCAAAGCCACCTAGTGCGCACAATAGCATGATCACGATCCAACATTATTTCCTCAATTTAACCTACAACATGTAGCCACCTCATGATAATTTTTTTTCCAATATATGCACATATGACAGATTAGTTATGCCTTAATCATTATAAAAAAAAATCCAATGTCACAATTAAGAGTCAGCACATCCTAATCAATCATCAACCAACTTATGTCACAAGTAGTATCATCTATCCGGTCTTAAATTCCATATAATTCCAATCAAGTGGTACTCTTAGAGGATTATACTAAGCATCATGTTTATTCAACGTTTCAAGTTTCTTTTGTCATCACTAAACCAAGTTTTCACAAATATATTATACTAAGCATGCTCATATTAGGTTCAATTCATTATAGGTATTATAAAAATAGCTACCTACCAAATTACACATATATAATAATTTAAAAGAAGTTACTTGAATTCGAGTTCATTCAAAGAACTTGAGGTTTCTTTGTAAGGTATCTTCCAGCTAACTCAAACTTCAAAGCAAAATTAAGGAACTTCTTAGAAAACTCCTAACACATTTACAAATAATAATTTAGAGAACTAGAGTCACATAAAATTTATATTTAATTATTTATTATTATCAAGTTATCCCAAAGTACTCATTTTATTTCATATATTTTTAATCTTAGAGCTTCCCAATGATTCCTCAAAACAACCTTAAGTCATATTAAGGTTGCTTTTTTAAACTTCAAATTGCTCGTAAGCACATTTACAAGTCCCAAGCATTCAATAAGTAAATTTTTCATCTCAAAATAACTAAAATAAATTTCAATTAGTTATAATCTATTCCCTAAGTTCATCTTTAATTTATAAATTGTTCTAAAAAGGTCTAAAAATAATCTCTACAGATCTTGAAATTACTCAGAGTCATCCAAAGTTCCTTTATGCCAAAAAAAAAAAAATCTGGAGTTCCTTTAAGTTATTTTTTATAACCTGAATACAATTATAGGGTTACTATTCAACAACCCTCCAACTCCATATAGCCTCTAGAATCTCTCTTAAATTTTAAATCTACCTAAAACTAGTGATTTTTTTTTTAATTGAGAAGACTAGCTAAAAACTATAAAAGAAAAGCAAGCCAAAATATTAGGCCCGTCTGAGAAATGCATCTCCCCTGACTTTGTCCTGAGAAAATAAATTAGTACAATCAACAGGTACTTCATGAAGAAGAAATAAGTGGTTAGGTACTTCCTGAGCAAGCTAGGCCAAAAAATCTGCACAAATGTTGGCTTCCTGTGGAATATACCTCAATTCCAGATCTTGCTGTTCGCAAATAGAATTTTGTAAATCCACAATATATGAGTAAAATGGCTGATTAATTGTTGTCCCTTTGTATATTAGCTCCAGAGCTTCCATAGAATCCGGTGACAGAATAACATTTCCCCGGTGCGCATGTTTACAGGCTTCCAAACCATGCTTGATTGCTTTAATTTTGTCAATTGTAATTGGAATATTTTCCAAATTATAAGTGAAACCAATGACCCAATTTCCATTTGAATCCCTTAGTAGTCTACCACACACAACATTGTTCTAATGGTTCAGTGAGGCATGTGCATCCATTCTGTGAGTTCCATTTATTGGTGCAATCCATCGCATCTCTTGCCCCATCCTTTGGTCTGTAAAATTAAGCTTCAGCTGGTGTAAATCCCTTTCCTCCATTAAATGCCTTCTACAAGACGAGATATATTCTCAAATATGCTACTACATCGGGTAGTCCATAATAGCTGGGAGATGTTTCCAAAGACCTTGATCCAAGGCCAAGATTGAAAGTGATGTCCTCTTAAATATTGCTTGGCATCAGTGTTTTGAAATCCAGACCGGATATCAAACCGAAAAGAGCAACGGATTGCGATTTTCATGATCTAACCGGTTAGACCGGCGGTCGAACCGGGGTACATAAAAATTAAATAAAAAATAAAATTTATATGCGCAAATTATATCAATAAAACATTAATTTGTCAATGGTGCTTAGGATCTCGACCCTAAAAGCTAGATGCTTGGACCGTTGGAGTTAGAGGTAAAGGCATGTTAGTACAAGCTTGTGATCTCGAAGAAAAATGTTGAAGCTGGAGGCATGCCATCATGTCATAACTTACAAGCTTTCAATCTTGATGCTAAAAGTTGGATCTTTAGAGCTGGAGGCAGGTTGGAGGAGGAGAAGTTAGAGATTGAATTTAGGCCATGAATGATAAATTAGAGATTAGAGAAAAGAAAAAAAGAGAGAATTAGTGATTAGAGAAGAGAAATTATGAATCCAAACAACTTAACCTAATTTTTTTAATTTTTTTGGCTTTGAATTGGATTGACCCTGGGTCTAGTTTCTGGGTCAAAGCCGATTCTCTCAAAATCGGCCGGTTCAACCGGGTCAAGTACCAGATTGGTTCAATTGGTTGAACCAGACCGTTTTGTTCAACGGGTGGCGGTTCAATCGATCGGACCGTCCGGTTTGATCCGGTTTCAACAACACTGCTTGGCATTTCAGGCCACCCAATCCTGCAAGCTGCAATTAAAAAATCTATTATGAAAATTAATAGATATAATTCCTCCCATATTTCTCTTACTCCTTAAAATCTCTCAGTATGTATATAATAACTGTCCTCCTTATCACATTCAAAGGGGCATGAAGCATCACTCGTAATCCCTCACTGAGCTCTGAGAAGATTGCTTTCATGGAGGGCTTGCTAAATGAAAAACATAATTTTTTTCCTATAAAGGTCATTTCCATAATTTATTCCAGATTTGGTAAAGGCCAACAGATACCCCATTATTAAGGAAATTGTAAGCCAACCTAACAGAGAATTTGCCGTCACTTGCAGGCCTTCACCAAAATTCATCATTCACATGGCTAGTGGGGGGATGGGAAGCCATGATTCTATCGACAATGCCATAAAACTAGGGATTTTAGCTTGAGCAACTTACCCGATCTTAAAAAATTTCAATCTAGTAAAAAAAATATCCGTATAGCTTCCTTAGAATCTCTCCTCGCATGCTATCGCTGTCACTTGTTCTCTCTCTCAAGTCTCAATCTTTCTGCCATTGCAGAAACCAAGACAAGCCTTGCTCTAATCTGAATACCCTTGAATCAAACCAATGCTAGCCCACCATTGGTTTCATAAAATTTTTCCCTTTTTTTTATTGTTTCTTTTCTTGGTTTTTTTAAGATATATTCCATCTTGAATATTCTTTCTTTCTTTGTATTTTTAAAATACTATTATTATTTTTTCATTTTTTATCCTTTTCCTTTTTTATTTATCTTATATTTTCATCCTTTTTATTTTCAAACAAACTCATATATGTGCGTGTCTATCAATCAGAATTTCTACTTTTTCCCATATATTTTTTATACTTTAATCATCTAGTATAATTATTTACTATTTAATCAACGTTCTTTTAAAAATTAA